CTTCATAGATTTTTATGTATCTATCTTAGTGTCTAAAATCATTACTCCATACTAAATACTGTTAATAATAAATAATATTTCTGTACACACAAGTTTTATACCAATAAACCTAATAGAACTCTTATCAAACAAATATGTCAAATAGTTATGAACGTTATCAGACCCTCGTCACTAGACAAGAGTCACTAGTAAAATAATTAAGACCGATTCGCGAGTGATGAGCCACGTGGTAGCTTGCTTCTACTAAATCCACGATTACAGGCCGCGCGCGAACGTTGTAATGAGTCGTGCTACACTCAGGGCTGTAAGTGAAGAATGTGACTGGTATAATATACCAGCTGTTCCCGTGTTTTTATTCGTAGTTCTGCTCCTATTGATTGTAAAGTGATGTTTTATATCCTGTACCGTTCCTTGATAAATAGACTACCTACTGAACACAAAAATAATTATTCAATGAGACATTATATTAGTATGGACATTGGACATGGACAAGTATAGTTGTCATGTAAAGGTTTATGCGTTGTATATCATGCCTTAACGCCTGAACAGATTTGGGAATGTAGACCATTATGTGGAATTGAATTTGTTTGTAGTTATGGTGTCGGTTGCCATGGTAACGGGTGAATCGGTGAAACAGTTTGAGTAAGGAGATTTAGGTCATTTTCTGTACTGGAAGATGATGATGATAGAACAGATGACGTGTTCAATTAAGATTAGATGGGGAACTAATCTATAATAAGATAAAGCAATTTCAAAATGTAGCAATTTTATAATCCACGTTACAATTATGTACGAAGGAAATGGATATAATTTATTTATTTGAAACCTTAATGTAAGCACGGTTAATTTCGTCAAGCTATGTACCTTAATTGAAATGTCATGATAACAAATTATTCAATGAATACGTTCATTAAAATTGTTAATTAGTGTATTATAGAGGTAGAGCTCAAAATATATTTCTAATTGATCGCCGCCGTATTTTAATCATTCCTTTCAATTAGTTGCTAACTCGATTTTCACATTTACTCATTTTGAAGTGGAATATTTGAAAATACAGAAAGGTTTTAAGAAATCCCTAGCTATTATAAAAGTAAAGCAGAGTGGCAGCAGTATTAAGTTTGAAAAATTAAAAAATGTTTTTAAGGATAAATTCTCGGTTCACTCGACAACCCTTCGCCCCATCCCCAGTGAAGCGATAAGCCAGCGAATTGCCAGCAACTTGAGACAACACTAACACAGATACAACATACATACACTCACGAAGTTTCACAAAATTGCTCTCTCAAAATACCATCTATCATTTTGAACGGCCATGCATACAGATATCTGGCTTTTATTCCAGATTTATGTTCTAAGTCCTTGTAGGTAGAGTTTACATTTGAAAGCAATGTCTCAAAAAACATTGTAACCGATCTTTGAAATATCTAAATCTTTTCAATATTATGCCCTACAAGATCTTTTAGATCTAAATACATATTAGTATAAACTGATTTCATCCTCAACAAATACGAATGGAATAATAAAGGAATCGAGTCTTTACTTATTTAAAGCCTAAATCTAGCGTAGACTTCAATAAACCTAAATATTGATGGAATTTATCAGTAGGTAGTCAGAAGACGTCCACTCATGGATTGACGTTTACATAATACTCTGCCTCAACACACGGCTTCGGATCCAACGGATCCTTGCGAGCGTTTCCAGGTCAGCGGTCCATCTAATTTTCCACTCGGTGATCACCTGTCGACTATGATTGTAAGAAAAAATATAGTCGAGTTAAGAAATTCACGTGAGATATTTCTTTAAGCAAAACTCGGATTTCGAAACAGAATTAATCGCATTTGTTACCTTCTCTTCTACAACGTAACATTTATTACGAGCTTCAAAAATTCCAAGACAGACGGTATGAAATAACTTCGCCGAAAGGTCAAAAACCGACCAAATTGCTGAGCGAACTCCTCAGGCGTTTTCCATCAAGTCTGCCTAAATAAACAATGTCGGCTATATTTTACAGCGGCTAAAAATTCCAACCACCAAGCAATTCCTCATGCAGATTGGAAAACTTTTCTAATAACCAATTAAGTTATAAGTGATACTCCGATGTTGTTTAAAATTCATCAGCCTCAAAATTTCCATGTTTTATAGGAAACGTTCCACGCCTTCCTCCGGTATTGTTCTTTTTATAATGAGCTTGTTTTAATTTAATACAAAGCTCTTTAGATTCTGAAATGGTTATGTTAAAATGGGTCAGTTGTATTTTAAATACGCGTTTAGCGCGAACTGTGTTAAATCGTCCGTCCTGATTGTCACTTACTACCGCATCATTAAGAGCGAAACATTCATTTTTGTGCCCATTTATATTCACCCTACATTGGAAACAGTCGTCACTTAACATTTTATTTCCGATTCTCTGGAAAATCCTTCAAAAAACATCAACATTTTGAGATGCGGAGTGCACAGATTATTCAGCATCACCGGTTTTTGCAATACGAGTGGATTATTTGGAGAGGCGAAATCTACTCATATTAAACGGGGCGGTGGTCGTAAAAAATAAATAGCGTGCAATAACACGAGGGTAGGATGCCACCAGTAATCCATAAAATATAGGTATAGCTCATGCTATATACGTACATACACCTAGCAAATATGACATAATTCGGAATCGCTCGAGCTCAAATGCTCTGACAGGAAATCGATAAAGCAAAGGTTGTGGTTTGTGCCTATGTGCGAGTATATTGGAAATCTGTCCATTCGAACGTATAAATTGGATAATTTCTGCTGGTACACGTACGTTATATACTTGGGTGATGGGTCTACAAAGGAGTGATGTATTGAATCTTAATTCGAAAACCACTTTCTAAGCTTCGACAATGTGTTAATAAACATGGAGCTATTATGCGAAACACTTAATTTTCTTTCTTGCAGAAAAAAAAATACTACGAGTTTCGTTAATATTTGAAAAAGCGCCTCGTCAGTTATTAATTCCAGTCTATCTATCAATGCAAATGCGCAAACTCCATCTGGTTTTTCGAAATTGCCTTCACATTTCCCTTAAAATCAAAGAGCTTCGTATCCATCATCTGCAAACAATTTCCACGGCCATTTCTCTCCATCCATAATTTAATCATTCGCAAAAACAGCGAAAATTTAAAATCTCCCCCGGCATTTAACGTTTGGACTGCAAAATAAGGACAGCACTGCACCGTCCGCTGACTTGCCGGAGATTTATGATCAGATATATCATCTAAGGCCTTCCCTGCCCTGACTGTAATGCTACTAGGGTGGCTACCACCCCGCTTATGGGAAAGAATTAAAAAGAATACGTTGATATCACGGTCATTGTTTTGTTGAATTTTTATACGTCTCCCTAACTTTCATCTAACGACTCTTAAATAAGTTCATTAAGCGTCGTGAAGTAATAACCCTCAATCTATTTTGATTACACAGTCATTACCTAACTCATTATAATCTACATTTTGCTCCAAAAATACATCGACTCGAAGAGCGAATGGTAACATTCCAAATTATACTAAGCCGTAACCGTACTGAAAATAACCTGAATTATTCAACATTACAGCTATTCATTCTAAACTCGCGAAGAAACTCGGTAACTCCCATTTAAGTATACAATGTGTATATAAATGTATAGATAAGTCTATGGACACATTGAGAGAAAAACAAAAGAGAGAAATTTTCATCGACTACCCTGCAGTGTTGGAAGTTGCCCGAACTTGCTCGTACAAAATCCTCATTTTTTTCCCGCGGGTCGGTCCCCGGTGTATAGGGCTCTAGAAAAAGCCATTTTCTTAAGAGCTTCACAAAAAACTGCTATGTGCAGAGGCTGACGTCGACCGTCTGATGTGTTGGGGCGAATGAACACATGCCATGTTTAGCTGGCGATACTTTATAAATGTTTCGTGTTGCGTCATTAAGTATTTATTGATAGGAGTCGACGTTCGCTTGCTTTGTTTGCTGTCGCTACTCGATGTCGCCGGAACAAGAGGACTATAAGCTGCAATAAGAGCATTAGTGTTCCCCTGTCAATATTGATGATATAAATTAATATTTACTTATTACTTACAGCACCGAGCTTACTTCACAAAGGCTTATTGATTGGTGCTCGTCTTTTTTACACCAGAGTTTTAGCATGAGATTGTTTATTGTGTTTTTAAATTAACATTGTGGTAAAATTATTATTACACATATTTAATTTAGTTTATCAAATATATTTTAAACTACATTTAGCAGACATTTTGTAGTTAATACTAGAATACAGTATAACATTAAAACCGTCGACACAACATGCCACGGCATAATCTCATTTGCGTACCACAAGTCATCTATCCGAAACTAAGAACACTAGTTGTGATTAACGCTAACCGTCAAAGACCTACGTTAGTAAATCAGGCTGTAGTGATTAATGTGTTTCGAGTACCACATTATGTGTGTCTAATTACCCAATAGTTTCTTGTTATTGATACTATTAATCTCTTTCGTAAATGTTGCCCTGTCTGCGCTGTACTTCTGCTAATATAGGAAGAAGTTTCACAGTAAATTATTGTTTGCCTCTGTTCTGTTCATGTCTAATTGGTATTGTATATTTTTTCGTGTTCTGTTTCGTAGGCATTTTCGTTGTTGCTGAGTTCTGTAGACGTATTTTGTTTTGCAGTTAGTCAATGTTTTTAATATTATATAGTATTTTAGTGACAGGTTTTATCATCATGAGCCTGTAAATATCAAGCTGCTAAAAAAAGGATTATTCTCCCACTTAGAAGAAATGATCATTGTTCACCAGGGTTGCTTAAAGGGTTTTTGACAACTTAAATAATTTGAAATTATAAGTACAGGTTTCCTTACAATGTTACAATATTATTTACCTTCACCGTACTAATATCTAAATAAACGATTGAACGAACATCTAAATAATTTCAACTGAACGTTAAATGTCTACCACAACCCATTCTGAATAAGACATATTCCACAGCATTTTTCTTTTGTTGCAGAGTTTGGAAGAGCGAGAGAAGAGGCATGTTAGTCACAAGGAGCAATTGGCGAGGGAGCAGCGCTACCTACAGCGGCGGTTGAACCAGCTGAGCGATGCACCCAGAGATTCAAGACTATCGGAGAGTTCGATGACGCATACGCACACAACGCGAGCTGATTCGCTCTCGTCCTTAGAATCCTCGTCGTCTGGAGTGTCCACGGCGGAGCGGTCGCCCTCATCAGTCTCTGAGAGTGGTGAGTACTTTGGTTCCTTTCTAGTTATTGTTAAATATATTATACTGGAACGAAATACAAAGTAAAACGACTGAAGGCTATTGACATTATTTTATTTCATTTAACATTTTTTGCAAAAGCGCGGCCTCAGCTACGCACCATACATAATCTATGACCAAAGACAATTATCACCATAGATTATTACCACATATACGTAACATTTAAGTGTGCCATATCTTTTTGGAAAATGAAACGGTCACTTGGAGTCTTTCCGACAGACTACTAAAATTATTATTAAACGAAAATGTCAAAATAAAATCAGTTTCATATTTACAATGATTAAGTATGTAACTGGAAGGCTTCCTTTCAAAGGAACGACACGAAAATAAAGTACGTTCTAGTTAATAATACGAATATTAATTTTCTTAGAAAAATTTTGAAAATACATGAGTTATATTAGGTGTTTTCGAGGAAATTTCGTGAAGTAAACGTGTCTAATTGATAGGTTTTATGGCACGTAAAAATAGAATAAAGTTTTAATCAAGTGCCTTGATAACTGCTGTAGTATACACGGCTGCAAAACAAGCTGTACACAACCAATTTATTTTGGTCTCGCTTTGTGTGATCTTTCAGTACATTCAACGGTCAGTTTATACTGGTTATGAATAGCTTGATGCGCACAATAAACGCGAACATTTTATGACTCAAGTTATTACCTGCTTCCTCAACCGTTCCCTGACTTATGCAAGATAATAAATATGATCTTTATCTTCAGTTATAGTTTATTCGTTTAACCAGCTTTTGCAGGAAGTTGTGTGATCATATTTTCATGTTAAAATTGCATCGTGAATTAGCACTTTTCCTGATTACTATCTATTTCTAGTACAATCACTTTTAACAGCGATAAACGTAAAACTAGAATGCCAACTCCTCCCAGCGTAGATCTAGGATAAATAATTAAATACTTATGGCTACATAGATTAATTCCTTCCTCTACCCAACCATACATAGGAATGTACATAAATTGCCAACCTACTTCTTACGAACTACAAACATAATTTTTATTCTACCTTATAACGTCCGCTTCCGAGCCCTTAAAACCAGTCTATATTGTTACCTTTTATTTATGCATTAACTTAGGCAATATAACTGTCTCCACCACACTTACTCCCAAAGCGGGGAACCCCAAATAAATTCGTAATCCATTGTCGGTCGCCATCTTAAAAACTTCCCCAGTCTAACACCGTCCTTTATTACGTTTTTATTCGCATCGAATTGATATGGTAAATAAACGGGTTTTATTTGTCTACTTAATGATACTTGCGAGCCTATTAATTGTTATTAAGAATCTATTATGGCCTATTATTAAATAACTACGAACGTTAACTGCGTGTAGCAAAGGAATGAGAAGTGTAGCTGATTTCGTAGCACGTACTTCGTAACTCATCGGCTACGCACGTAGCAACGTAGGCGTAGGATTTGCTACGACGTAGCATTCAAAGCGTAGCACAGCGTTAAAAGGCCCAGTTGACTACGAATATTAATTAAACCTTTCCTAATTTTAGTAGGAAGTTGAAAGAGCGATTCTTAACAAAATTGTAACCCTTTCGCCCCATTAATTAAAATTTCGTGATGAAAACACGCACCCGTTTAATGATTTCCGATACCGTCAAATGTGATTTCGCGATCACATAATTAACTCTGCCTTCGATGGAATATTTTGGTCGGATGAATATGAGCCGTATAGTCGTATGGGGTAGAGTTTAAATTTGGGTGGTGGTTGTTGTGCGGGCAGCGCTAATTAAGGGCGCGCGCACTTGGCCGACGGCGAAGCGCAATCGCATTACCGTAATCGCGTATGTGAAGTGACGCGAACCGACGCGAACCGACCGACAGACATATTATATTGCGTTACTGTATGTGTCCTAAGCTCGAGATTTTGGCAGAATTTTGCAGCAAAATATTGGAGCGTATGATTACTTTTTTCCTCTTTTTGCAACTGACGTGATATGACAGGGGATGCAAATGTAACGTGTGTGGGTGATGGTAGCAGAGTGTCTGTAAAGTCTTTTTACCTTCGTAAATAGAGTTATATTTATCACTAAGACACCGATCGGCAGCATGACATATTTATTTTAGTTTTTCTGTTTATCTAATTATAATAAATAGTTGACTGCCTCGTTGGCCAAGTGGTTGCACGTGCGACTTCCGGGCAAGGAGTCTCGGGTTCGATTCCCGAGTCGGACAAAGTATTACTGGGTATTTTAAGAAACTCAGTAGTAGCGCGGAGTCTGGAAATGTGCCCGGTATATGGCAATAGGCTCATACTTTGGAAATGGTTCCATTTTTTTTATTTATCAACGTTGTTCGTACAACTTACATCAGATAACAATATACTACATCCATTTTATTCTACCGAAAGCAATACTAACCGCAAACATTGACAATGAATTTAAATTACACTGCATTCACTCACAATAAATTAAAAACTATTTACTGATGTGTAAATCGAGTGCGAGCGATTTATAAATACGTTTGTTTACGTAGCTGTGTGTGTGTGTGTGTGTGTGTGTGCAAAGTGTTGTTTGTTTGTTCGCTTCGAGAGACCGGGTGCTGAGACTTGAAGCGAATGTATAGGGAATGGATGTGGCTTCTGTTCTGTGTAATTAATTAGAAGGTGTCTATTAAAAATGCTACGAGGGGTAGGAAAACTTATTAACTAAAAAGATATGTGTGTAAAGAGGTACTTGTTTGACGATCAAATACCGATTTTGGTTTTTACTAAATGTAAAAGTTTTCTGTTTTATAAGCAAGGATCTGATCTGAGTTACATGACTGCCTCGTTGGCCGAGTGGTCGCATGTGCGACGGTTGGGCAATGGGTCGCGGGTTCGATTCCCGGGCCGTACAAAGTAATACTGGGTTTTTTTTAATTCTCAGTTGTAGCACGAGTCTGGAATTGTGCCCGGTATACGGCAAAAGGCCCACCCACTATCACATGAGCATGAGACTAAATAGTGAAAAGTGGGTGTTACATCGTACAGTGGCATAATGTACACCTCTACCTACCCCTTCGGGGATAAAAGGCGTGACGTTATGTTTATGATTTGAGTTACATGTATTTTATAATCGAACTTCATCATTATACATACTGACAATAAGTACAAAACCAAACACTACTCAGAAGAAAAGTTCCTCAATTTAAAACCTAGCCTTTCTCAATACGATCTCAAACCAGTTTTTCCATTCTATCACACGCAACGAATTCATCCATATAATAATTCCACACGAACCTCTCCAACTACAAACATCCATTCGACCGTTACAGGATTTCAGGATAATTCTCCGGATTTACCTTAATTCTCTGTAATTCACCGTTGCTTTATAAACGACGGGAGGGCACATAATTCAAAATGTTTACCGGTTTTAATTCGTAAACTTTGGTAATGAATAGACGGTTCGTTCGTTACCTGTGCCTCTGTGGATCACATTTTTAAATTATATTTGATTAATGCTGGCTGTTGTGTTGTGATTCTTAAAGTTTTTTTAACTATACCTAAATATATATATTTTTATTTACACTTCTGTATATAACATACGATGACGGCCTTAATGCCGGGTGGCATTCTCTAACAGTCAACCATGGGGTGATGCAGAGATGTGCAACAGTAGGTGTAATAGGTATTATATTTCAAATTATGTATAGAGGTATATATAATATAATATAAGTAATACCTTATACTTACTCACTTAGGCGAGATAGCAGCCAAGTAGCCTGACTATTAATTTATTGACTTACCAAAAAAATAAATATGACTTGCTATTCCCGCGCCGCTCGGGTGTTATTGACCGTAGTGTGCTACTTATAGCATTCCTTAATAAATGGACTATTCAAAAACAAAAAATAATTATCGAATTCTATGCAGTAGTTCCATAGATCCAACGGTCAAACAAACAAACTACATAGCTTGATAATTTAAAATAATAAACTAGTCGAGGTCCTCGTCAAACAAATACGTGAGTAAGCCGATAACATAATGATTAAAAAAATAAGTATAGACATTAGAGATCAAATTCATCGTTCTCCCCCCATGAGCGACCGTAACATGTTATTTTATAGAAAGCCCTGATTTATTTTTGCCTTGCTGGTTTCACTTCTCTAGCCAATAATAAAGCTTCCATTCCACAATACCGAGTTGCTGAGTAAGTGCGCGCACTTCCAGCTACCGACATCCGTGTAGCCATGCAGCGTCATTAGCGAGGGTGATTTACGAGAGGCGCGCGGCTTATCGCGCTCTCACTCACTAGCACCTCGCTTATTAATTACACCCCGCCAACGCACGCCTCCAAGGACCAGCGTGTGAGTTACATCAAACATTCACTTCAAGAATATGGGCTAAACAAAGACAAAGCAAGCATATCCCCAGTCTAAAAATATACCAAAGTAGGTTAAACCATCAAGACCCTTCCTCCAACAAGAAATACGTAATCCTTTAAGTAAAGAAATTAATAATCCATAAAAAACGAAAAAAAACTGTAAAGTTAAGGAAGACAGCAAGGAAAAATGGTTCGTCTACCGTAAAATATCGCCCCTTATCATCATTTAAGAAAAAATGCCCGGATTATCCGTACCTAAAGCGAAATTATCAGATCTCTGTCTTCCCGATAGAGGGCCAGCAAAAAAAATTACAGCAATATCTCAGACAAAGAGCAACATAGATAATAACTATGCGTATATTGAGGTTAGAGCGGGACAACACTACACACGACCGCCCAAACTGAACAGAGACAAAAGAGGGAGGCCATAAACGGAAAATTGGTTTATTCCCGTTTTTATGAACATAATATATCATATACAATAAAACTAGCGAGGCCCTTTCCTTGTTTTGAATAAACAAATTCAACGTATTTATGATCTCATGTGCACTTTATATTACACTACGTGATCAATTTACGATCGCCATCTTGAAACTAACATTGAATTATTAATCGAAGCTCAAAATATCAGATATTCATAACACC